AATGAAGAGCAAGGCTAATTAGGCAGAGGGTTTTTTAATGATGGTGCACCAGACTGGTCCATGTGAGACCTGGAGTGGTGGACACTGACTAACCAAGGACATGTTTTAGCAGGTAATACCATTTCAGCCTCACACAAGCATCAACTGTTTCCCCACCTCCAGACAATCTTATTAATGTTTATGTTCATCAGCATCTAAAGGGCAAGAGGCTGGGGCCAGACTCTGGTCAGTGGTGCCCAGTGACAGGACAAGGGGCAACAGGCACCAACTGGAACCCAGGAGGCTCCATCAGAACACAAGGAATAACATGCTTTGCTGTGAGGGTGCAGAGCCTGGAGCAGCTGCCCAGAGAGGTTGTGGAGTCTCCTTCTCTGGAGAGATCCCAAACCCACCTGGATGTGACCCTGGGCACCCTGCTGTGGGTGAGCTGCTGGAGCAGGGGGGTTGGATGAAGTATCTCCAGAGGTCCCTTCCAGCACCACCGTGCTGGGATCCTGTGACACAACCTGGCCTAAAGACAAAGCCCAGTCAGCAGTTCTGGCTGCCCATCCACGTGCCAGGGCTTGGCAGGCTCTGGGGTTTGGAGCAAAAAGTCAGAAACTCAAGGAGAAATGAAACCAAAGGAACTCTTTGTGCAGGCAGCTCTGTCTGTGCAACCTTCACAGGAAACCTAAAGGGCAAGTTAATGTGCTGGAACAGCATCCTACCCAGTAGCTCCCACCAAGGAGCACCTGCCTTCTCCAGCCAGCTCAGGCACAGTGCCACTAATCTGGAGCTCCTTCTCCACGAGCTGCCACCGTGGTCAGGATCCGTGCTGCACTCCAGCTGTGAACAAAGCCAGGGACAGGGAAGGGAACTCACAGAGCTCAAAGTCACCTTCTTAGCTTGGGTATTGTGTGTAATATCCATTTATCTCCCAGCATACCTCATCAAGTCCCTTTCAGCCTCACAATCTACTTCCCTCCTACAACCTCCTGCGACAGCATCCAGGCTTCCTCCGGTGGCAGAAGGTAAAAAAAAAACAGAGTTAGAAAACACACCAAACCATCTCCACCCCCTGCAGACAAGACGCCTCCAGTTCACATGAAATAGCAACTTTTATTTTCTCAAATAAAATAATCCTTCCATTTCTGCTCGGTCAGTTTGGGAGGGGTGGGGAGGAGCACAGAGGAGAGGGGAGGGGCCTCGCTCAGACAAGCTTGTCACCAGACCTGTCCTCACAGTTAAGAATCCACATCAGACCGAAGCCTTTTCCAATGAAAGAAAATAAAAGCTATTGGCAACTCTTGATCCCAGAGGGCAAGAGCTGTTCTCTGTCAGGCACTCTGAATGGTTTAGGGTTTACTCAATGGAAAAGCATGATTAGAAAAGATCCCAGATTTCGGATGAAAAATATCCAGACGAGCAACGACGTTTAACAGATCTGGGGTAAACCCCACAGCATGGGATGGTACCTGGAGCTCAGGGAGCTGTTCTGGAATTCAGGGACATGATGAAGATCCCCAGCAGTACTCTGGGGGACTAAGGGGCAGGATGAGAGCAAAGGAGCAAAGCCCCAGGACAGCTCCTCCAGGAGGGATCTGCCAGAAGCGGCCCCCATGGCGTAACCCCGCCGCAGCACAGCCACCAGTCATTGCCAAGGGGCCACTTCTCATCTTGCTCAGTACCAGCTGGACCAGGGTGTCCAAAAAATCCTACTGCAGAGCTAAGGGAAGGCACAGGGTGCCACGTTTTAATGTTAACTGGGGTGGGACTGTCACAAATTCACCTGCAAACTCAGGTGCAGAGACTGAGGTTGCCAGCGGTGAGAGCTGCAGAGACGACGTGTCCAATAAGCAGGGGAGGGAGAATTTTGTTTCTGTTTCAGATCAAGGCTTAAATTCAGTGAACAGAGAAGCAGCAGAGTGTCAGCAATGTTCTCTCAGCCTTTTGGCTTCCCCCATCCCAAATCACAGGGCCAGATTTGTTTGCACAAACCCATTAATTTCCCCCTGGTTAAGGGAGGTTAACACACGGATCCACATGCCAGCCCCCCCAGGGGCAGGCCACTGCTGGCTCTGGGCACTGTGTCCTAGAAGGACTGGCCTCTTTTTTTATTTTTAAGACACATTACTTCACCTGAAATGCTGCAAGATGGAAACCCACCTTCCCCATCCCCACCTGCAAGTACAGTAGCCTCATTTTCTGCCTTTCTCCAAGAGAAGGAGCTTCACAGAAGCTTTCTTGGCTGTGGAGCACATCTTCCTTTTTCTTTTTCTTTTTTTTTTTTCCTTTTTTTTTTGTATTTTGTTTTGTTTTGCTTTTATGTGATCAGTTCCAATTCTAGCAATTAAGAGACAAGGCCAGGCACCAGCCAAGAGGGTTACTTCTTGACAATCTGAATGACATCTTCGTGCTCCATCATATGGGTTAAACCCACTCTTTGTGGGCTGTATTTTGTGCTTGTCCCCTTGAAAGCAAAACAAGGAGGAGAAGGGTTAGGAGCTGACCAGGGACCCCCAAGGACAGGGATTTCATTTGCTGTTCAACACTTACCCACACCAAGGCATATTTGAACTGGCTGGCTAATGACCTGTGAATTCGATGGCACTGCAAGGCAGACAGACAGACAGACAGCACGTGAGGCAGTTCAGTGACTCTACTTTGCAAACAACTCTCTCAACTCCCAGGAACTAGAATCCACTCAGAAATTACAACTGTGAATTCAGAAGCCAATTAGCAGGACTTGAAACAACACAGAATGGACACAGGGGCATCACGAGCTCACACTCTGCCCCATTCCACAGCTTCCATGAGATTTTTCACTGGACTGCATTAAGTCATTTTGGGTTTTAACCTTCCACAGCAGCCAGGAACATGACCCGAGGCAGACAGAATCAGTAAAGGTAATAAAAGGAGAAGCTCAGCTAAATGCTGACAAGTCCTGAGCTTTACAAAGCACAAATCACAGCAGGCTCCAAGAGGAACCTGCCTACTACACACAAGGAAATGTAAAAGATGCCAAGAAATTACCACGTGCTCCACAGAGGCCCCTTTCCGTAGAATAATGGCATCTGTAAAGTCTGGTCTCTCTGTGGAAAAGCAGGAAAAAGGGGAAATAAAAGCATTGGATTTCCATCAAGTGTGTTCTAACCTGCTGACACCACCTCACGTTGCCTTGTGCTTACTGCTCCCAAATTCCTCCTCCCATTGCACTCACCAGCCCCCAGGCACAGCAGGTAGCTGGGTATCTGAGCAGCAAATCAGTTCTGCAGACACTCCAGTGCCCACAAGCACAGTCACTCACATCACTCTGTCCCCAGCTTCCTCACAACCCCCCTGCTCCAGCTCCATTCTGAACAGCTGAGCTGGGACAAAGCCACCCAAGTCAAACCACACCCTGCTCATGGGAAACCAAACCCGGCAGTTTTCTGTCAAATCCCCCAAGATTTCATGGCTCAATGAGCTCTGAGAAAGTTCCTTCATCTTTCTGAACACCTGACTTGGGACAAAGCCACCCAAGTCAAAACACACCCTGCTCATGGGAAACCAAACCACCTGGCAGTTTTCTGTCAAATCCCCCAAGATTTCATGGCTTAATGAGCTCTGAGAAAGTTCCTTCATCTCCTCAGGTCCACCCAAGTTCAGTCACTGCTGTTCACAACCAAAGAGGAACAAGTTATAGCTGTGCCTTCAGCACTGGGATCAGCTGGGGGGGGACTGTAAAGCAACAGGCACTCGTGAGGCTCAGGAGCCCCATGGAACCACCAAACCTCTCACAGGAGGAACAGGAGACTTCTTTTGGGTAGAGATGGGCTAAAATGTTCATCACAGAGCATGCATAATAAGGAAGAAAGCTGCAAACTGGCATGCTTCATTTCCTCATAGCATCATGAAGGTGACAAAGATGCTGAGGGGCTGGAGCATCTCTGTGCCAGGACAGGCTGAGAGCCCTGGGGCTGTGCAGCTGGAGAGGAGAAGCCTCAGAGGGGATCTGAGCAGTGCTGCGCAAGAGGTAAAGGGCCCAGGAGGCAAGAGGCTGGGGCCAGACTCTTGTCAGTGGTGCCCAGGGACAGGACAAGGGGCAACGGGCACCAACTGGAACCCAGGAGGTTCCATATGAACAGGAGGACCCAAATTCTTTAGTTTGAGGATGCCCAAGCCTGGAGCAGCTGCCCAGAGAGGCTGTGGAGTCTCCTGCTCTGGAGAGATTCCAAACCTGCCTGGATGTGACCCTGGGCACCCTGCTGTGGGTGAGCTGCTGGAGCAGGGGGGTTGGATGAGATGATTTCCAGAGGAAACTTCCAACCCCACCATGCTGGGGTTCTGTGTTCATGCAAAGTCTTATGAAATTCAGCCCTTCTAGTGCAGAGAGAACAGGAGGGCTATGGAGGGACACGCGCGTGGCTGCATCAGAAAGGACAGAAATCATTTCCCAAGAGCTGAAAGCTGGGCAGGAGGAGTGTAACTGCAGCATTTCCAGGACACAAGAGATGGATTGCTGCCAGCCAGGCACTGTGCCCTGCCACCCATCTGTCTGCCCTTGCTGAGCTGAGCTCTTTGTGGCTCTCAACCCTCCCGTCCAGCTAACGGCCACTTACGCCCTCGTTTCTTGGTGTAGATGCAGGTGAGTGCAAGGTATTCCCAGAGCTTCTCCAGCAAGTAGTCCAGGTTCAGCTTCATGCCACAGCTGCAAAACACCACAGAAATCTCTGTGCTTATTGATGGTGTGATTTAGAGATCCAGAAGAACAAGGTGAAACGTCTTATTGAAGGGCAAGGGAATAAGGGGAGAAGATTTTAACGAGGCCATTAGAGGAAAAACACAAGGTGACAGGAACTGGGTTTTCCAAAGGCAAACAGCTTGGAAGCAGCAAAGCCCTGCTCAGATGGGTCAGCACTTCTGAGGCCACAAGCTAGAGTGGCTCACTCTGGCCTGCAGACAGCGTGGAGGAGCCAAGCAGCCTGCTCTCCACGGGAAGGAAGCCTGGGAGAAGCTGCACTGCAGCTCTGCTTCTCAGCCCAGCAGCTGTAGGCAGCCCTGGGAGAAGCCCCTTCTTGGGAGAAGCTGGAGAAAGGGGTAAGAAATGAAGGTCCACACCCCCCAGGCCAGCACAGCAGCATGACAGGATCCTACCTGATTACAACACTGTGGGGTCTCCGGGCAAGACGATCCACTTCCTCCATTGAGATCTGGTCAATCTTGTTATAAACCTGAGTGAGAGGAAAAACAGCCCACCCTTGAGGAAGTCAGCTCAGCAACACTGAGGAGGTTGACATGAGACGTGATGGTCAAGGGCAATGAAGCTGCTGGGGAAGGGTCTAGAGCCCAAGTGTGGGGAGGAGCAGCTGAGGGAGCTGGGGGTGCTGAGCCTGGAGCAAAGGAGGCTCAGGGGAGACCTTCTGGCTCTGCACAGCTCCTGACAGGAGCCTGGAGCCAGGGGGGGGTCGGGCTCTGCTCCCAAGGAACAAGAGACAGGACAAGAGGAAACAGCCTCAAGTTGCCCCAGGGGAAGTTTAGGTTGGACCTGAGGAAAAAAACCCAAGGGCTTTTTCCCCCACAAGGGTTGTCCAGGGCTGTGCCAGGCTGCCCAGGGCAGTGGTGGAGTCCTCACCCCTGGAGGGGTTTCCAAGCTATGGAGAGGTGGTGGGAGGGACACAGGGCAGTGGGGACCTGGCAGGGCTGGTTGGACTCGATGACCTGAAAGGTCCCTTCCAACCAAAACAATTCTATGAAGTAAGACATGCAGATGTAGGTGCAACAAGGCCCTTCCAGCACCTGAAACAGAAACTCAGATCCTGTCAGCCAGAGGACAAGCCAAGGCTGTCAGTTAAACAAACTGTTAAAATTCAGAAGCCTCAATCTGAGGTTGGGCCTCTTCATGTTCTCCATTTCATCCCCCAGTGTCTCTGACTTCACTGCAGAGCCAGTGGCTATGGGACAGAGCTGCTGAGTGACCTGTGGCACAAGGGACCAGCAGTGGCAACCCCAGCACTGAGCTCTGTGGTGCAGGAGCCAGGACACTCCACAGCCCAGGGCACAGGACGTGCTGCCCGGGCTGCTCCACGGCAGCCAGCCACCAGAGGGCCCAGAACACACAGAGCAGAACCCCCAGAGCTCAGAAAACTCTCTGCTGAGCTGTGCTTTCCACCTCTCAGCCCCCACAATTGTCACTGCTTCAGGAACCAGAGTCATTAAGGTTGGGAAAGACCTCCAAGAGCATCAAATCCAGCCATCAACCCAACACTGCCATGAGCACTGAACCATGTCCTGAAGTACCACATCTACACGTTGTGTGAACCCCTCCAGGGCTGGGGACTCCAGCACCTCCCTGGGCAGCCTGGGCCAATCCTCACCACTCTGCCAGGGGAGAAATTCTGCCCAATATCTAATCAAAACCTCCCCTGGGGCAACTTCAGCCCAGTGCCTCTCAACCTGTCAGTGGTTACATGGGAGAAGAGACCAAACCCCACCTCA